TTCTCACATTTCAGTGAGATTTCTGTGAGTGTGTATGTGTTTGTGCAACACAAACTCGCTTCACTTTTAGTGAAGAAATCAAATGACCACATAGCAATTCCTAAAGAGCTCACAAGGAATACTGATCATTTCCAGGATTTCTTCTAAGCAAGCCAACTCTGAGGAGTTGGGCCTATTCATTGTGAGACAATTTGTGGTGTTGGAGTATACAAGGTCTATAGTGCATCCATATGAAGAGGATCAGAAGATCACCCTACAGTGGGTCAGCTGAAGGACTGCTAGTTAGCATAGCTAGACTGGGGATTTCCCACAATTTCAAATTATGTCCTTCCTGTCTCCTGGTTGGCTCCTTTTAGAGACTTCCTGCTCTTGCTGAGCTTCCTTGTCATTATTCCCTCTCACAGCTGTTAGTTAGATAGTTAGGCTCTCTCTCTCTCTCTGTCCTATCAAAGTTTGTTCTTCTTTAATAAACCAACTTATTTTTATTTAAACAGTTGGTGGTCCACTTTTTGCATATTTAAACTCTGCCAACAGGTAGTAGAACACTTGCTTTGCATGCAGAAAGTCCCATCTTCAATCTACAGAATCTCCAGTTAAAAGATATCTATTTGAGATCCTATAGAGCTGTCATCAGTCAGAATAGACAATACTGGCCTTGGGAGACCAATAGTCTGATTCATTATAAGGCAGCTGAACAAAGCAGCTCCTTTTGTTCACGTGAGTGTGTTTGCCAGAAGCATAGCACTTCAGGAGGTAATTTGTGCAACACTAAATCAGCACAGGAACACTAGTGTGTTATTTATATAGCTATGAGGACTTACACCTGTTCATTGAAAAGTGAAAACATTCATTTCTGTTAGCTGTACTATACACCCTGAATACCTTGGTATCTCTGTACTGACTGAGACTTCAGTGGTTTAGATGGGCTTTGCATAATGGGGAAGAGGTTTGGGTGCCCCCCACCGGTCCTACTAAATCAAACTATCAGTCTATTCAAAAGGCCCACATGTTGGACATGCATGCACTGCAGTCTTATCTACATGTTTTTAGCCCTCATTAGTGCCAAATCGAGGTATGTGCTGCCTGTAGCCTCTGGCCACACATTCTGGAATGCAGCACTGCTCTCACTGTACATGTTTTCTCCTCAAACAAAGGGTCTCTCATTGGACTGGAGGCTTCACAGAAATCCATAAGAAGATGGTGCAGGAGAAAGGGGCCCACATCGTACTACGTGAAGACTGTTCCTGCTGGCAAATATCTGAACTCAGTCTCCGTTTTTCAAGTGATTTACACACTGAAAGTCAGCAGTGAAGAAAACACCTTATTGCTAGAGATGCTAGCTTTCTAGGTGAAGGAACCTCTTTTTGTGCAAGAGCCTCCCATCATGTTGGCTCCCAACTGTACTCTGAAGTCAGGACAAGGGTTTATAGACTCCTCTGCTCTCTTTGAGAACTAGGTCCAGTTCATGCTGAAAGTTATACCCTACAAAAAAGCATATATGCTTTCTGTCTCTCAACACATCTTTGGTAATGTTTCTTGGAGCAACAGATCACTGGTTTTCCACAGGCCAAAGAATGTTTTTGCCTAATAACAGGTATGTGTAAGGATATTAACAGAAGATGATCACTCTCCTGATCAATTTCCATGAATGCTGTGCTTCTGCCAAATGTTTGTTTATCCGGTTTTGCAAAATCTCTATCACAACAGGGGCTCCAGTATTACTTTACAATAATAAGCACCGTAAATAACAACAATTCCTCATTTTCTTGTATTACAATGCACTGAATTTTACATCTCTTTTATTATTGCCTTCATGCTGCCACTGACAATTCAGAGCTTGAACATAACAACTACAATCCAAAATGTTCATGCCATCTAAAAAACGAAGTATTTTAAAATGTAAATAAATGGTTCAGAAAGCTGACAACTGGTATATAGTACCAATTTTTATCCTGAATCTGGTCTACTGTTTTGACTTGCTGATACATAACAGAAGGTAGAGTATGTCAGTCTTTGAAATATTATCTCCAAAAAATAATAAAAGGACCAAAGCATCACTAGTTCAACCAACGAACTAGGCAACTTTTATAAAATTTTATCACCTGAAAGTTAAACATATGTGATCTATTGGCTTGTTATCATTCATTACTAGATGAAAAATAATAGAATGATAAGCACAGTTTTTAAAAAAAGTTAAATAAAAGAGATGTACTGCATAACACTGATATGACCAGAAACACATTATGAACAATGATAACCCAGCACACATTTGGTCATGGCCTATGGTGAGGAAACACTGTATTGCAGTGGAGCATGGGAGCTCATGTACCCTCCCCAAAGCTACTACAACCTTTAGTATGAATAGAGCTCTTCTTACAGGGGCTACTGTAAGCTCTTGGAGGATTGGCTACATTAGGGGTGTGTTGCCTAATATGCAAAGGAGTTCCAGCTACAAAAAGAGCCCTTAAAAACTCCATTTATATAATCCCACCCTTTTTTCAGGATTGGATTGCACGAGAAGACAACTTCTTTGTATACAGGTGTGAGAAGAGGAAGCATTTGAGGTTCTGTTTCCTTGTTTTAGAATTCCCAAAGAACTTCAAGGAAGGGACATTATTCACGGTACATTCACTCATCAGAACAAGGAAGTTGGCTCAATTCACCCTACCCACTATCTCATACACACTCTACCAAGGCAGCTGAGCAACTATAAAACTCTTTCCTTCCACATTAGTTCTGGAAGGCGGCAGCAGGGAAGAGCCTTGGCTTCTATGATCTGTTTGCTTGGCTCTGCTGAGCAACAGGCTGACCACTGTGTAAAACAGTATGCTTGGCTAGATGGACCTCTGGTCTGATCTAGCAGACTCTATGTAATCTAAGAGAGAGTTTGGTGTAGTGGTTAAGTGCACAGAGTCTAATCTGGGAGAACCAGGTTTGATTCCCCACTCCTCCACTTGCAGCTGCTAGATGACCTTGGCCAAGCCATAGTTCTGTCAGAGGTGTTCTTGAAAAGAGCAGTTTCTGTCAGAGCCCTCTCAGCCCCACCTACCTCACAGGGTGTCAGTTGTGGGGAGGGGAAGGGAAGGAGATTGTAAACCGCTCTGAGACTCTGAGTGAAGAGCAGGGTATAAATCCAACCTCCTCCTCTTCTTTTTCATTATCCCCACATACACTGCATTTGGCTCATAAATTTTCCCCTTGATTACTGTAATGCCCTTGAAGAACTTCAATAAGTTCAGAATGCAATGACCTGATTATCTAGAAATAAACACTGTTATCACATAGCACCAATATTGAAATCACCGCATAGGCTGTCCACTTATTTAGGTGGTAGCTACAGCTCACAAGTAAACTGAGAAGGTGTTTTCCCCCTCCACTGGAAACAATGGAGGATGGGAGCCCTGCAGAGAAAGACTGTACTGTTCCTAAGTAGAGATAGCAGGTGAGGGAGGAGATGGAAACCTGAAGTCAGAAGGGCAGATAAAGGTTGGTTGATGGTTGGCTGGGAAGGAGATCGGGTTGCCACCTCTAGGTTTGGAAATTCCTGGAGATTTGAGGAGTAGACCCTGGAGAGACCCTGGGGTCACAGACTCCACCCTCCAAACCAGCCATTTGTCCTGGGGAACCATTTTTGCCAATCTCCAGGTAGGGCTGCCAAGCCGCGGCAGGGGATCCGTGCGTCTTCACAGGATCCCTGCCGCGGAGGACAGCGATACGCATTGCACTGCCGTCACCAAGGTTGTGACGCTACGCGTCGCTCTGGCAACGGAACTCCAACCAGCCCCGTTGCCAGAGCGATGCGTAGCGTCACATCCTGGCGATGGTGGTGCAATGCGTATCGCTGTCCCCCACGGCAGGGATCCTGTGAAAACGCATGGATCCCCCGCCGCGGCTTGGGCGCCCTATCTACCTCTGTTGAGGTCACCACAGCAAATTAACGCTGAGTGGCCAAGGCCAGGGCACCCGCCCAGAGCATTTTCCTAGAGCTTGTTGTATTTATTTCCACAATGGGCCTTATTCCTAGTTTGTCATATTTCACTAAAAAAACAAAGTAGACAACAAGAGTCCCCCCCCCCAAGTGCTGGTATGTTTTCTAAGGCTTAGCACAGGGTGATGGTCCGAGGCCAGGTCTACCAATATAGTAGACTGTGGTGGGTAGACCTGTTCTCCAGAGGCCAGGTTACCAATATGGTGGAAAGGGGCAGTTTTCCAGAGGCCTGGTCTACTCCCATAGAGGATAACATTTTCTGTAATGAAATTTGATTCTGTTTTCTCTTATAATGTTTAAATTATTCTTAAAATATAGTTTAAATATAGTTTAAAAGAATTCATTCTGAGATTTTTACAAGGTTATGGGAAAAAATCTTCTAAAAACTAATTTAAGTGATAGTCAAATGTAGACTGGCCCACAACTTTAATGCTACTAGCTTTTTAGAATTTTTGCTCACAACACTGTGGAGCTTAGAGGGAACATTGGTGCAGACGGCAGTGGCATGACCCTGATCTTTCGCAATCATAGTCCCTATTCTTTGGAATGACCTCCTTGTAATTGTGAGGAAGGCCTCTTCCCTCCAAAAATTTTGATAGTGTACAAGACTGAACATTTCACAAGCGCTTGTGACATTTCCAAATTGTCCTACGGGTAAGTTGTGCTACTGTAACATTTTACAAGTGTGTGATATGTATGTTTTAATCTGTTGCTCACCCTGAGTATCTATATTTGGGAGAAAGATGGTCCTATATATATTTTAATGAATGAATGAATTAATTAATTAATATAACCCTTCAGATACCTTCCAACACTATCTTTGAAAGACCTGTTTCCCTTTCTAAAACCATCTATGCCAAAGAAGATTGACATTGAAGCACCTTTCAAATAGAATTCAGAAACCTAAAAAAAAAAGGTAGCAAAAACTAACATGGGCATGCAATTACATTATAGATAAATTATTTTGAATCATCCAACAAACAGTTTTACTGATAAAAAGAATTCCACATACTGGGTCGTTGGGATTGTATTGGATGACATACTCTATCTGGCCATTGGGACCATCATCTATGTCTGTAGCACCATTGTTTCCAGAGAATCCTGTAAAGATGGTGGTTCCCACTGGTGTTAACTGCAACAAAAAAAATGATATGCAAACTTAGGAAATGATGATTAAGTAATGTTTTAAAGTCAAAATGTGGTTTGCGAATTTGCTGATAATGTTACAGTATTGAACAAGATTGCACTTTCCATTACTGACTGTTATACTCTTTAGAAACTCAGAGAAAGCCCTGACCTGGATAGCCCAGGCAAGCTCAATCTCATCAGATCTCAGAAGCTAAGCAGGGCCAACTCTGGCAAATACTTGGATAGGAGACTTCCTTGGAAAAACAGCAGTCTGGAGGCAGGGGCAGGCTTTATTCAGCCACATCTATGAATATCCTCCAGGCCCCCAGTAGGGATCAGTCTCCAGAGGTTACCATGACTTCCAGGTGCACACACATGCATGTGTGCTCACACACATACACATACACACTCAAACATGCAATATACACACTCAAACATGCAATAATATGAAAAATAATATTAAAAAACCTCAGAGGAAGTTTTAAACACACAACAGTCCTGAAAATCTTAAATAAATTACACTGCTAAGTTTCAAAGGACGTATAGGTATGTGGAGTCCAAGGCTAATAACCATAAGCACCTGTGGTAAGAAATTTTAGAAATATAGAAAGTTTGGGTTTAAAAATGAACCAAATAGTTTATAAAATCTATATAGCTGTCTCTATTTTTGCTAGCAAAACAGCAAACAGGCTGTTCCAGACAAATTTCTTTCTTGGTCACACGCAAAAGTCACACATTCCATTCCCAGGAAATCTCCACAGGTGTGAGACTTACAATAACCAGCAATAAAAGTGCCGCTGGCCAGGAAGGCCATTTGGGCAATAACAGACCCTAATCCAAAATGCAAACTCCTGAGATACATACCCCACTTCCACCTGATAGCTTCTCTGATAGCTTCAAAGGACAGTTTATTTCACATGGTGGGAACACCAGGAAAACAATAACACTATACTGATCCGGTAAATAAAAGTATGCACTTTTGTTTTGTGAGACCAAGGAAGCAATTTCCTGCAAGACAATTTCAGCTTCTAAATGTTAATTTACAACTGTAAATTAAGGGACCTCTTTGATCATTTGGTATAAATACTGGTAAAATCCAACAGATCTTTGCTGGCTCTTAGTAGGAGTCAGCCCGAGAGGCCTCTCGTTCTTTGCATGCTTTGGGGTGGGATAGGACTTTGCTTGCGTGTTTATTTTTCTGTGTATTTACTATCAATATTTAGGAGATATAATTCTACTGTGTTGGCAAGCTGGCATAGCGTCTTGCTGGTCACCTTGCCAGGTAAATCTTTGAATGTTTTTCTTTTAATAAAGATAAGTTTTATTTTAAGAAGAGACCTTTGAGTGTCTCTGCCAGCGCTTAGCGGTTTCCAAGCTTACACCTCTGCCTTTGGTAAGGAGGCAACACTCAGGGGACACATGGACCAAAAACGGGAGTGTGGGTGGCACGGGTAAACACGCATTCACAGACACGTGCAGCCACACACACATTTCTCGCAACAGCACCCCCCCCAGTCCTCAATGGTTAAACTTTCATGGAGGGGGACTGAAGCGAGACTTGCCTGGGTCTGCCTTCCAACAGCAAAGCTCTCAGACTGCATTGCCTAAAATAACATGAGAACTATGGTTTGGGCCCAGGGTCTCATGAGATGTTAGGCAGGAAGTTGGTACACGGTGAATAAAGTTCATGTTCCCGCCAATCAAATGTTTAGCTCTGGCAGCAGACAGCACATCATTTGGTTTAGTTTATTTATATCCTGCCTTTCTCCCCAACAGGGATCCAAAATGGCTTACATCTTTTCCCTCTCTTCCATTTTATCCACACAACAACCCTGTGAGGAAGGTTAGGCTGACAGTATGTGCCTGGCTCAAGATCACCCAGCAAGTTTCCATGGCACAAGTGGGGATTCAAACTGGGGTCTCCCAAATCCTAGCGGGGCACTTTAACCACTATACCACATTGGCTTTCAAACATCCACTCAAGTGGGCAGAACAGCACACTGGGTTGTGATTAGTTGCTCTTTAGGGGACCAGGAAACACATTATTAGTTTTATTATATATTGGGCTGGCATAATTTTTGCCTTCCTTTGAAGCATTCCTTCTCCTAACTGGGATTTTTGTGTGTACTGCTCATTGGTTGAAGTTGGCTGTTTACTGTTTTGTTCTTTAAATGTAGCTTTGACAAAAGATCATAGTTTATGTGGAAGAATACGACCAGTAGGGAGAAAATGGGAAGGTGCCTAGGATGGCCATCTCAGCTGAGATGAGGACAGTGGGACATTCATAGGCCGAATTCAGACTGGCAGTTTGCCCCGATATGCATGTGTTTCAGAAATGTTCCACAACCGGGACTTCCGGTTTAAGCGTTTCACTGCTCGGACGCATCTTGTCTCGCTTTGATGGGGACGCACTGAGACCCGGCTGATGGGAGGGGTTCGAGTTCATCCCAGACCCCCCCAGGTCTCTGTAGGAGACCCCCAGCCTGGGGAGCTGAGGAGAGCCTCTTCCAAGGGGACGCCCGAGGAATTGAGGCTCACCTTCTTCCCCTATAGATACCGTCGCTGCGGAGCCAGCATGGCGCCTAGAGATGACTGCCGGAGCAAGCGATCGCGAATAAACTTGTAAAAGACTTCCAAAAGATCTCCAAGGCTACAAACTGTGAGTTAAGCAAATCTCAGGTTAAAATAAGCAGAGGGCGCCTTGGTAGTAATTGGAAGCACCTAAGCTTGAAGCAAGGGGGAGGAGATTCCAAGCCCCCCCCATAAGAGTAAACTGTAAAAAACTATTTTAAAGCGGAAATAAAGAGACTTTGAGCTAAACCAAGTGCATAAGAAATTAAGTGAATGCATAAACCGCCAAACTATATGAAGCGGAATTAAAATGTACAACTTTTGCTTTATTTTGGAAAACTTACTTCTTGTTGATATTATGGCGGGGAGAGGACGGAGAGCGCCAGGAAAAAAAACTGGTGACCGGAAACAACATACCAACGACTCCCTCCCAGAACCAGGAAGCAGCAACAAACCTTTCTTCGCTGTTAGCAAATGCACTGTGCCCTCTAATGGAACAGATGACTACTTTCAACTCCAAACTAGATAGTGTACAAAAACAGCTAAAGGAGATGGACAAGAGGACTACAGCAACTGAAAAAAGGTTGAAAAAAAATGGAAAAACAGACTGAGAGTATTAATAAAAGAGTGGATGAAGCAGAGAAGGAGAGATCCTCAGAAAAAACACAAGTAATACAGCTCCAGCTGGAAAGATCCATGCATGTTCTACGTTTCCATGGAATACCTGAGGACAAGAATGAGGATTTAAAGGAACTTTTGGTGGTTGCCTTGGCCCCACTAATGGATTACAATCAAGAAGATTTAATTAAGGAAATGGATGTGGTGTGCAGGACTTATCCGGATTTTATAAAGAAAAATAAACTTCCTGGGGAAACTTATATAAAATTCACGAAACGATCAACCAGAGATCTGGTGCTAAAGCCAACAATGGGGAAATCCTTAAAAATCAAGAAGAGATAAAATTTTTGAAAGACATCCCATTCGAAGTAAGAAAAAGGAGGAAATCATACAGGATGCTTACTCTCTCCCTGCAAAAAAAGGGATTATCGTATAGATGGCTGTTCCCGGAAGGGTTGAGTTTTACTTATCAAGATAAAAAATATAAAATTGACTCTGTTCCAAAAGCAGAAAAATTTATGAATCAAATGTTTAATGTAAAAACGAAGCAGAAGGAAAAGAACTTAAAATCGGATGTGGAGGAAGAAGAAGAGGAGGAGTCCTACTCACAGGACTCAACAAGCTAAATATCCTCGTCTTCAGAATCATCTGAATTGGAGAAAGGAGAGGCCACTCCCAAATTACAGAAAGTGAAGAAAACCAAGAAGAAAAGACTCTAAAATTAAAGCATGAGTGCTAAGGGCAGTAATTGTGTCAAGCTAATAATTTTATACTTTTTAAAATCGAACTTATCTCTGTATAATCAGTAACAATAGCTTTGAAATAACTATTTTAAGCTTTCTTGATCGTGATTTGTTTTAGTATGTACCCTTTCCCCATATCCACTAGATGATTTAGAATAGAATGGTAGTTTTTCCTTCCCCAATCCAGTAGAGTATATGTACGTAGATTTCCCTAACCCAATTCCCATAGAAATATTATTAGGGCATTAGTCATTAGAGTGTAGAAAATGCAAAATAAAAAAATTGTCCTTCGGGGGGGGGCAAAAAAAGTTCCACAATCGGATTAAATGGGCCGTTCACACAGGCACATCTGTCAGGCATTCCCCACCCGTACTCAACCCATCTTGTAGCGCTTCGCTCCCGAGTTTAAAAGATTCCTGGTGAAAGTGGTAGCAAACCCTGGAAAGCACGATTATCCTGTATCCATCCCGCACCAACAAGGTGTGAATGCCAAAAGCACATATCTCCAGATTACAAAAAAAGAAACTGCACCTTCCAGCCATGCCTCCGGGCCAATAGTGTGAACCCTCCCGGTATGCTCCCGCATTAGTCGCTGCAGTGTGAATGGGAAAACCTGGAACAGTTTGTTCCGGGTCTTTTTTGCCACGACTCCCTCCCACTTCAAACTGCCAGTTTGAACTCAGCCATAGATCCTGGAAAAGTAAAATGCCATATTGCAGTCTGTTGGAGTGAAGTTACGGTACAAACAATGGGGTTGCAATGGGGAACATTCCTCACTCCTATTTCTCTATGGAAAGTTAGAGTTCACCAGGAGTATCTTGTGATTAGCTGACTTGTGCCAGTGGGTCACCTCAGTTGGCTTTCCAACTCAAACTCCAAGATCACCTTGACAGAGGTTGTAATAAACACCACCTTTACATTGGCTGTAATAGCTACCACAGTTTACCACGCTTATTTAATAAAAGTGTGGCTTGTTTGATTCCATCTACTAAATTCCACCTGTATTTTCTCCTACAAGCAAATGTGATAGCTTGACAATTGCTATCACTTACCAGTCCTTTGGCATCTTCGG